AAATTAAAAGCATTTCCCTTAAGGACAGAAACAAGACAAGGATGCCCACTTTTACCACTCTTATTTAACATCGTACTGGAAGTCTTAGCCACAGCAATCAGACAGGAGGAAAAAATAAAAGGGATCCAAATTGAAAAGGAGAAAGTGAAACTGTCATTATTCGCAGATGACATGATAATATACGTAGAAAACCCCAAAGACTCCATCAAAAATTTACTAGACTTAATAAATGAATTTGGCAAAGTAGCTGGATACAAAATTAACGTCAAGAAATCGATAGCATTCTTATACACCAATGATGAACTCACAGACAAAGAAACTAATAATACAATCCCATTTACCATCATGGCAAAAAAATTAAGATACCTAGGAATAAACTTAACCAAAGAAATAAGGGATCTATTTGCAGAAAACTACAGGTCATTGAAAAAAGAAATAGAGGAAGGTATAAAAAAGTGGAAGCACATAACTTGTTCATGGATTGGAAGAATTAACATCATTAAAATGTCCATACTACTGAAAGCAACCTATAGATTCAATGCAATCCCCATCAAAATACCAACGTCATACTTCACAGAACTAGAACAAATACTTCAAAAGTTCATATGGAACCATAAAAGACCTCGAATAGCCACAGAAATCTTGAAAAAGAAGAACAAAGTTGAAGGGATCACATTACCAGATTTCAGGTTATACTACGAACCACTATAATCAAAACAGTGTGGTACTGGCACAAGAACAGGCATATAGACCAGTGGAACAGAACAGAGAACCCAGAAATAAACCCAAGGCAATATGCTCAATTAATATTTGACAAAGGTGGCAAGAGCATACAGTGGAGTAAAGACAGCCTCTTTAATAAATGGTGTTGGGAAAATGGGACAGCTACATGCACATAAAATAAAACTAGACCATCAACTTACACTGTACACAAGAATAAACTCAAAATGGATAAAAGACTTAAATGTGACTCATGAATCCATAAAAATGTTAGAAGAAAATATAGGCAACAAAATTTCGGACATCATATGCAGCAGAATTTTCAATGATACATCACCTAAGGCAACAGAAACAAAGGAGAAATTGAACACATAGGACTACATCAAACTAAAAAGCTTCTGCACAGCAAAAGATACAATCAACAAAATGGAAAGGCAACCCACTGTATGGGAGAGCATAATTGCCAATGATACATCAGATAAGGGGTTAATTTCCAATATATATAGAGTGTTTACACAACTCATCAAAAAGAAGACAAAGAACCCAATTAAAAAATGGGCAGTAAATAGACACCTCTCCAAACACTAAATAGACACCTCTCCAAACAGGACATACAAATGGCTAAGAGACATATGAAGACATGCTCAACATCACTAATCATCAGAGAGATGCAAATGAAAACAACAATGAGGTATCACCTCACACCTGTCAGAATGGCCGCCATCTACAAATCATCAAACAACAAATGTTGGCGAGGGTGTGGAGAAAAGGAGACTCTAGTACACTGCTGGTGGGAATGCAGACTGGTGCAGCCACTATGGAAAACAATATGGGGTTACCTCAAAACATTAAAAATTGAACATGCATTTGACCTAGTGATCCCATTTCCAGGAATATACCCTAAGAAGCTTGAAACACCAATCAGAAAGAATATATGTACCCCCATGTTTGTAGCAGTACTATTTACAATAGCTAAGATCTGGAAACAGCCCAAATGTCCATCAGTTGACAAATGGATAAAAAAGCAGTGTTACATATACACAATGGAGTACTATGTAGCTATAAGAAAGAAAGATCTCTTATCCTTTGAGACGACATGGAAGGACCTGGAAAGTATTATCCTAAGCGAAACAATCCAAACAGAAAAAGACAAGTATCGTATGATCTCCCTTATTTGTAGAATATAATGAACATAACAGTCTACAGAATGGGATAGTCCCAGAGACATGGAAGTGGGGTACAGACTGACAATCCCCAGAAAAGGGGGTTGTGGGGGAGAGATAAACCACAGAACTTATATGCATGTACGCATGAGCAAAGGTCATGGACCACAAACCTGGGGACAGGGTGCGGAGGGGCATGAGGGGGGAATCAGTGGGGGGGAAATAGAAACATCTGTAACAAAAATAAATTAATTAATTAGAAAAAAAATAGTACAGAATACTTTGAAATACATCAGAGTGCCACACAGAGAACTTTTATTTTGATTGTGTGTTTGGGTAAAGTGGGTCAACATCCAAAATGCACTTCTTACTGAGAGTCTTAAACAAAACAGTTTAAAACCCATTATGTTTCCCCAAAGAGAGACAGACAGGGGCACTTAGGTTTTGTGGCTGGTATTTATGGGGAGGGAGGGAGGGAGTGCTCACCATGGTGTCTAGAACCACAGTGAACACAGCTCACTCCCTATATGAAGGTAGGTTCTCCTGTGACCTACAGCATGAAAGACAGCAGACTTTTACGTCTATAAAGCTTCCATAAGTGACCAATAAGTACTGATCGCCATGCTCTGGGGGTAGAAAAATTACAAAGATACTGTTTCAGCTTCATCAAGCTTCACCAAGGGAGACACACGTGCTAATGACCACAGTCGGATGTGAGAAATGCTAGAACAGAGATGTCTTTAGACTAATGTTTGAGAAGAAAAAGACTGATTCTATACAGTGGTGTATTCATTTTCTAGGGCTGCTATTACAGGGTGTCAACAAGGTCATATTCTCTTTGAAAGTGCTAGAGAAGGATGTTCCCAGCCCCTCTCCCAGCTTCACACATCATTCTCCCCGTGTGTGTGTGTGTGTGTGTGTGTGTGTGTGTCCCAATCTTCTCTTTTTATAAGAACACCAGTGATGTTGGATTAGGGACCCACCCTAATAATTTGCAATCACCCCAACTAACCAATTACATCTGTAATCACTCTTTTTCCAAATAAGGTCACCTTCTGAGGTAGCTGGTGTTAGGACTTAAACATATGATTGTGGGGAGACAATTTGGCATATAACAGAGGGTCAAAAAGAAAAAAAGTTGTTTGCCCTAAACCTTAAATCTCATTTTCTACCAATGCCAAAATGTGATGACATTCCAGAAGAAAGGAGCTCTCCTGGTCCCCTGCCCCTGCTGTGCAGAGAGAGCCAGGCAGGCACAAGCCACCTTGCTAGCCTGTCCTCGTGAGGACATGGGCCTGTACCCAGTACTTCTCAGGTATGCCCACATTCAGCTCTTGCTTTAGGAGCGATGAAGGGCTGCACCTTACATTCAGGGTCAGTAAACGTACACTACTTAGTATATGCCAGATCCTATCACAGGCAGGATCTTGCTTCCTCCTCACAAGGTAGATTCCCATTTCTATTCATACACTACAGAAATAGAAGTCCAGAGAGGTAAACTTAACTTGACAAAGGCACACAGCTTTTGTTCGTAAACACAGAATTAAAATTCAGACCTTGTTCTGAGTGACTTCGAAGTCCTTTAAAAACTTTTCTGGTTACAACATGGTAAGAGGCATCTCCTGAGGAAATCCATACACTGCATCTGCCTGTGACCCTCCTCCCAGCCATTCCTACTTGGCCAGAGCCACATGTTCTGCCTCCAACCCTCTGTGTCTTCAGACAGCTGAAGTAGGAAGGGGGCAGGGAGGAAGAGAGCTCCATTCTCCAAAGAAAGGACTTCATGCTGCAGGAAAATGCAGTGCCTAGAGGGACTCTAACCAGAGCCTAGAACCCCAGGGTACTCAAGCTGGAAGGGAGACCAGAAGTCACCACCACCCCCTCTGTAATCAGAAGTGGCCCCCCAAAAGGGATGCCTAGCCCACAAATCTACAGCTTGCTGCACAGGGTCAGTACTGGGACCTGAGTAGGACCCTTTGTATGGGCCCCAAGATGACATACTGTTGTAGTCAAATTCATTATTCAAACTGCTCCCACCTGGAATAAAATGCAGACAGTTGAAACCAGCTGAATGAGGCCAGGCCCTGGAGATTCGATAGTATGCCAATGAGTCATTCAACATTAACGGGGCCTGCATGGCCTTCAGGACACTGGGAGACAGCCAGGATGTGGGAAAGACAGGCCTGCTCTGAACACCTTGGAGTCCCATCATCAGGAAAATGACTGATGAAAATATAAAACAAAACAGCCTCAATCCAGAAGCAGTAAAAATTTTGAGAAAATACAGACATGAGTAACTGAATGAATTGGGGGTTCTGCCAGAATCAGGTCACCTGGCCTCAGCCTCCTCTTCTATGATACAGAGGGAGCTGTTTCTGCTTCTCATCTGGTATCACTGAAATGCCCAAAGAAAGCTACTACACACAAACACTGCAAAGGGGAAAAACGACCAGATAAATGCAAGTTCTTTCTTTCACTTTGCTCCTGCTTAGTCTGTCTGGGCTTGAAGCCTCCAATGCCCAGCGAAGCTGTCATGCAATCTCCTTCCAGGCACAGACTCTCTCTGTGGCTGTGCCCAAGTCCTCAAGTACCTGGGTCCAGGGTCCTGATGGGACAAAGCCTCCAGTTATTTGATTCATATGTGGTTGAGCAGCTAGATATTTAAAAACATCTTATTCATATGAAGATTTCACTTTTCACTAGGATTGTTAGACGTAATTGCAATAATAAAAATAGCAGCAATAGTTTGTTGAAAAATGATTTGCTGTCACCCAAACACCATGCAATGTGATCTCATCCATGAAATGGGCAGTAAATGGCAGACATCATGAAACGCAGTGCTGCCTGACACCACAATCCAAGTCCTCCCCCGAGGCTGCCCTGGGAGACCATGAACTGCCTTCCCATTGCCCCCACCTGGGAAATCAACATGGGACTAACCACTCTCCCCAGGCTGGGAGGTGGGCACGGAAAGGCAGGGCTCTGAGGACGACTGAGCGAGTTGCTCAGAATGTGCGCATTAACTAAGCTATGCACGGATGAGCCACCTTTCAAACCGGCATCCGGGAAGCTCTTGGAACAATTCTCACCTCAGCTGCACTTCTCAGCAGCACTTACCTTGATTTCTTTGGAGCCTGACTGGCCAAAGGCCTTTTTTCCTCCCTTGGAGGACTTGGAGGAGGTGGAGGAGAAGCCCTGGGCGCGCTTGGGCTTCAGGTCGTTGAGACTGCTCAGGTATTTTTTCCGCAAGGCCAGCAGCTCCTGCAGGTACTGCAGACAGTCCTGGGTGCGTGAGTACATCCACGCCCGGTCGCCTTCCTGCTGCAGGTAGTACAGGCTGGTGTCCATGCTGCTGGTGCTTTTGTATTTCTTTAAGGACTCACTGAATTTCTCCCCGTGGTCCCCAACCACATACATGGAGCTGCTGCGGATCAGCCGCACCGTGGGGCCGGCTCCCTGGTAGTAGGAACTGTCGGCCACCTCCGCCTTCCTTTGCGGGCTGGAGCTGAAGATGGAGTGCAGCTTTCTGAGCATGGTGCTCGGTTTCTGTCTGTGGGTGCCTTCCAGCTGTCTGCGCTGCGCCACTTGATCTAGCTGGGCGTGGAGGAGCCAGCGTGCAGGCCTCCCGCCATCTGCCTTCCGGGAGGCCTCTGATCTCTGGGTTCCCAGTGGCGAGTGTGGGCTCGGGCAAGCGGGCGACAGGACATCTCTCATGCGGGGACATTGACAGCCAATAACCAAGACGCCATGGCCTCCTGAGGAGAGGTGGTAATGAGTGTCCTGTGAGCTTAAAAGGAGGCGTCCTGGCTGGTGCTGAGCACCACATGGGGCAAATGCCCTCTGTGCTCCCCCATGGAGGGCCAGTGGGGACAGCTGGCAATGCCTCAGCTCAACTATGTTCTTTCCTTGGCGGTTTCCATTTCTGGGTGTGGTCTCGGTTTGACTTGATTTTGGTGTGAATTTTTCCGTTTCCACACTAGCTGAGCTAACCCTAGTTCTGAACTCCTATATCCAAAAGGAAGTCCTACTTTGCAAGGACACCACTCAGCCAAAAGCGGTGTGTTGCTTGTAAAATCCAGTCCCCGGCCAGGGCGAGCCGGCCAGGGCCGCTGGCACTTGGCTCGCAGATGTCCGATAAGCGGAGCTCTGAGCAGCAGGAGCGCCCTGCAGGCGCCTCGCCTGCGGTAACAAAATCTCACAGCGTCACCAGATAGCAGCCCATTGTGGAGACGGAGGATTCAAGTATCTGGACCACAACTTTCTGCGTAAAAGCCTCAGTCTGCGGAGAGTAGCTACATAGACGGGCAGACCTGCTCTTTTTAACTTAGCACCTTTTCAGTTAAATAGACCAGCTATGATCAGACACACAGTATTTTTTCAAGAGCATCATTTGAATACATTAGAATCTCAGGGATGTTCCCTCCAGAATTTTTTTCAGACAAATGCTAAACATCATTGTTGCACTCATTTCTCTACTCAGTCCATTTCAGAGCTAAAGCCTGTAAATCTCTAGCACAGGCATTTTTTTTTTAAAGCTGAGTTGGACATGGAAGAGACTATGAGCCCCAGAAATTGTATGTGAAATGTTATTGGATGTATGTATCAGCATGATTTAGTTTTGCTCTTTTTTTGAGAGAGAGAGAGAGAGAAAGAGGAAGAGTGTATGTGTGTGTTCATGGTTTTATCAAATATTCAGCGAGGTCTGTGATAAACATAAATAAATTAAAAATGTTTATATCCTTAAAAGAAGGAACAATAACCTTTTTAAAATACAGTTATGTCTATACAGATGTAAGAAAAAAAGCTCTCTTACCCTTTGAGAAGACATGGAAGGATCTGGTGAGTATTATGCTGAGCAAAATAAACCAATCAGAGAAAGACAAGCACACATGATCTCACTTATTTATGGAATACCATGAACAAAATAAGCTGATGATCAAAATAGATCCGGGGACGTGAGGGCGATCTAGCTGCGACATCTATCACCCCACTGATCTCCAGGGTGAATTCAGCTGCTCTGGCTAGCTAGGCGGGTGTCCCCTCTTCCCTCACGGATCCATGTGGTTCTCCCCGAAACTGCAAGCTCAGTGGAAGAGGACTACCTTCCCGCCAGAGGAGAGGACCAATCTTTGGTCAAGGGTATAGAATAGCTGTGCTCCCCTGCTAGAACCTCCAAACAAGCTCTCAAAATAGACCCAGGGACAGGGAAGTAGGGAACAGACAGACAAGCCTCAGAGGGAAGGGGGTTGGTGGGGAATGGGAAAAGATAAACCAAAGAATTTATATGTATATATGCACAGACAATAGTGTAGGGAAGGGGGGGAGCGGGGAGGGGGAAGTCAATGGGGGAATAAAGAGGGAACATCTGTAATACTTTCAACAATAAAGATAAAAAATAAATAAATAAAATATAGCTATAAAAGGATATTATAAAGACATCTGCATTGAGCACATCATCTACATGTGGCTTTCTCCTAGTCACTGTCCTGAGATGCCCCAAATATGTGGAAGCATTTACACCTGACATTTGCGGAGTGCTTTGGGGCTGATAAAACATGCCTACTTAAATTAATTTATTGAATCATTATGGCTTTCTTAGAAGAGAAGCATCATTTTCACTGTCATCATTATTGATCCTCAATTCACAGATGAAGAAGGTGAGCCTGAGATGTTAGGAAACTTGCTTTAAGGACTACATCAGATGAACAAAAACTAGTCTTCAGACCAATGCTCCAGCTTCAAGGGAAGCTGGTCCCACTGCCCCCTTGGTGCCTTGCACATGTCAAGTCACGTGCTGCAAAGTCTCCTGGAGGGTCTCTATACAGCCAATTTCTCTGGCTTCACACAGGCACAACACCACCCAGATGGACAAGTGCTGACAAAGTTTCTTCCTACAGGAATCCAGGGTCTGTGACCACACAGCCTTCCAGTGGGCTTAGAATGATATTTATTCTACATGGATTTAGAAAAAGTTTAAATAGATAAAAAATGAAGTTTAATATATATCATATCCAGAATGTCACAAGAACCTAACCTCTTGATCTTGAAGAGAATAAAACAATCTTCCTATGTATTTTTCTCTCTACCCCTACCTCCCTGCTGGAGTCTTTCTAGACCCAGACTCTTGGAGAAAATGGCAGTGATGTCACTCACAGAGCATTACATGAACTTAGCCAGCACACGGACTCTCCCCAGTGGTACCAGCCCAGCCCCCAAAGCCACCCCTTTCTCTGGAGCTCCTACTGAGGAAGTTGAGGAAAGACTGACTTTCTGAATTCCCACAACTCTCTGCAAAAATACTTGTCACTTCTGCTCAAGAACATTCATTCCTACTAGCAACTGCCTTTATACCTTGTTTAGATTTCCCATGACTCATTCGGAGAAATGGGGGTGAAGTCAACTCGTGTCTTAAGAATGTATTTCGAGGACATTGCAAATGCCCATCACATCTCCAATCACGCAGTCAGGCTTGACTCTTCCTCTGCCTCATGGAGAATGTTGGGCAAACATCTAAGTGGAGAAGGGAGAAGGGCCTACACTCACCCCCAGCCCAGCCCTCCAACGCCAGCCCTGCTGTGGACAGGAAGGCAGCTGACTGTGAAGCTGAACTCCTCACTAGCACAGACCAGACCTGCTGTCTGTGCCATATCAAGAATCCTGAGGCTTGACCAGGACCCCAGAGAAGCAGAGTAAGGTGACTCAGCATAACAAACCTTGTTATTCCAGAATTCCCTAAACCCAAAGGGCAGACTCCAGGGCAGAGGCAGATCAGTCCAGGGAACTGGCTCGGTAGTGATGCTGGGCACTGGCATCTGTGGGCAGGACACATGAAGCAGATGTCCCTAAGAAAGCCTGGTTTGTGCTGCTGGTGCTGTGGTGATGCTCTGGGTCCAGTGGGTAGGGCAGGGTGATAGGTCTGCCACCGATCAGCTTAGGAAAGTTATTTCAACTCTGAGCTTTGGTGTTCTCGTCTTCAAGAGTAGATATCTAGCCCTGCCAGTTTGGCTCAGCGGTTAGAGCGTTGGCCTGTGGTCCAGAGAGACCTGGGTTTGGTTCCCACTAAGGGCGCGTGCCTCGGTTGCAGTTTGTCCACTACCCTGGATGGGTCGTGTGGGTGGCAACCACTCAATGTGTCCCTTTCACATTGATGTTTCTCTCTCTCTCTCTCCCTCCTGCTCTATCTGAACAAAAAATGGAAAGATGTCCTCGGGTGAGGATAAAAAAAAAAAAAGAAGAGTAGATATCTATTTCATAGAGTTGTTGTATTGATTAAATGAGGTCATAGAGAGAACATATAGTGTGTCAGATTTGCTCAATAAAAAGTACCAATTATTATTTTTATAATATAAAAATAGTATTACTACTTCTAGTTTGCATCTCCCAGCATATGTTTGCCAAATTATTGTCCCACACAGGCCTTTCATCCTTCAATGTTTGAGTATATCACAGTCAGAGGGGTGTTTAGTTTAGCCCAGGGCCCCGAATACTGAGATTCCCCGGGGTACTGGTTCTCCTGAACAGCCCACCTGCTGAGAGGGCACAAGGCCAGGCATTCCAACGCCTTCCAGCACAAGTCAGGTGAGCACCGAATTGCTCCCCTCCCCCACAGCGGCATGTTGACTATTACCGTACTATACCCTGGGATAGTCTCGGGGGGTACCATTCTCAAGGCAGTGCCACCTTCAGTGCCACCTGGCTGCACTTGACTCCCCACAAAGAATCCAGAGTCGAGGAAAACACTCTGTACACTCGTCCGGGTCTAGAAACCCCCTTGGCTGTGCCCCTGACGGAGAGGGACTCTGAGTGGCACTTCCAGCAGCAGGTAAGATGGAGAGAGGGCATGAAGGAGGCGGGAATGCAGAAGAAGGGGAAGCTGAGAAAAGGAAGAGATCAAACTATCTGTGTTGAATATTTAATGAGGGGTAAGATTACAAAGTTTGACAACGTGTATCCCATGTCACGTTGGTCCATTTGCACTGCATATTGGAACATTTTGCTTTATTGTTGTGCTATGAATTGTGAGGAAAAGTGTCTCCCCTGGAGACCAGCTTCCCCAGCTCAGACTCAGTGTCCTGTGCCTTTGGACCCTTGTCCAATAAAGCACAGCCTCTCTGGGGCAGAGTAACTCATGGCCCCTGGGCTTTGCCCTCCACATCTGGAGAAGGAAATGGAATAATGGATGGTTTCACTGCCCCTTCTTACTTTAACACACTTGGAAATCCCCCCCAAAATGTGCCTGTAAACAAACATCAGATCCTGTGAGGTTTACAAGACTGAAAATGTCCTGGCGCCTGAGTACACACAGGCTTGGTGGCTGCACTGGATCCTCCCTTACAAGGCATAGCCCCAGTTTGGGCCCTGCTGCTGATTGGAAGGCAAAATGGGCACGTCTGAGGTAAAAGGTAGGGTAACCCTGCTGGGCTGAAGCTGAAGAGGAGCAATGAGAGCAAACGTGGTATCAGGCATTTAGTTAAAGGAGGCGTGGAGGCCAGGTCAACAGCTTGGGATTTGATTCAACTGAATACTGCTTGTCA